AGACCCACCGCTGCTAACTGAAGAAAGTAAAATCTCATTGATTCATTGATAGTACTGACTCTCAGCATTTTTATTTTATAAACATTAAATTAATCCTTAGATGATTTCTTCATGGGTTCTCTGCTGCTGTTCTGTTCAGTTCCACCTGGTGATGAGGGCTGGCTATGTCCAGCTTGTGATTGCAAACTTGACTGTGTTGATTTGCTTAATGATTCTCAAGGAACAAGACTTGCAATTGAGAACAAATGGGAGGTATTTCAAGGCATCACCCTGTGTATTGAGTATTGACCTTTTTTTTTTTTTTTTTTTAATTTTTTTTTGCTTCATTCTAAAATTGCATCATTCTTGCAGAAAGTTTTTCCTGAAGCTGTTTCAGCTATGGTCTCCAAGGAGCTGGATGATGTTATGGGACTCCCTTCAGATGATTCCGAGGATAATGAATACAACCCAGATGGCACAGATGATGATGCCAATGCCGAAGGGAATGAATCAAGCTCTGCTAAGTCTGATTCTGATGAATCTGAGGATGATGATTTCTCTTCTGTTTCAGAAGATCTGGGGCCCAAACGTGGGGCTGAGCAAAATCTTGGTCTTCCTTCTGATGATTCTGAGGATGATGATTTTAATCCTGATGCAGCAAATGTTAATGAAGGAGTTGAGCCTGAAAGTTCAAGTTCAGATTTTACATCTGCTTCTGAGGATCTAGGTGCAGCAATCGGTGATGATGGGACTTCGGACATCAATGAACCGTCTCTTCCTTTGGATCTGGAGCAAGACTTAGGTGAATCTTCACCTCTTACTAGTAAAAGATGTGTGCAGAGATTGGACTACAAGAAGCTCTATGATGTAAGTATTGCCCACTGGAAAATACAATGCCCCTTTCTCTTTAAAGGTTGTACTTTTTGACATTATTACCCTCTTTTTGATGACTTGTCATCTTTTTTCCTTTTCTTTTTTGTACTTTTGACATCAATTTCCAACACTTTCTCTCGCTATCTCTTCAAGTATTCCCAACTACTTTTTCTTTCTCTCTATCTCTCTCTAACCCCACATGCACATATGTACTTCTTATCATTACTTTTAAGAAATCAACAACTTTCTTAATTCCCGTGTAAAAACCCAAAGAGACATTGTAGTTTTAAGAAGGAAGAGCACCATTATTTTACATATAAAATATTTATTGATTTATTTGTAAAATAGTGGTGCTCTTCCTTCTTTTGGGGTGTGAAATGAATGAAAGCTTCTATATCTGATGGGTGATGACTGTCAATTTGATATGTTCTTGTTTATTAAGGAAACATATGGGAATGCTGCTTCGGATTCAAGTGATGATGATGAAGAATGGACAGATGTTGTGGTTGGAACAAGAAAAAGGAAAAACAGTAAAGAAAAAGCTGTTTCAGTTTCAAATATGGGTGCCTCAGCTTCTGCTGATGGCACCTGTGGCTCTGGTGCTTCTCAAAGAAGAGGTCGGCCAAAGGTCAATCGTCAAGCTGCAAATGGGTCACCAGTTCCGCTGCAAGAAAGCCCTCGGAAAAAAAGTCCTGGTGGCAGTAGTAAAAAGCGACCACCATATAATCGACTTGGAGAAGCTGTGACTAAGGTATTATGAAATGTTATTTGATTTCAGTAATTGGGGATATCATTGTACTGTCAATGGGTGAGTTGTGATGTACTTGTTGGTGATCAAACCTTGGAATTATTCTAGTTACTTTCATGCTGAATATGTCAAGACTGAGTTTTCCCCTGGCAATGAATGGTTACTGACTATGCTTGTGTGTGAGCCGTGGATTCATGAACCTTGAGAATTTGAAGTTGTTTGCCTATCCTCTCGTGAGATATAAAAGAAGAATTTTTTTGCTGCAATATCTAATTTTTGTTTTATTGATTAGAGTTTTATTTGATTAATCTAGAACCAGCTTCATTAATGGTCTTGCCACTCGTTTAATTAGGAGTATAGGCTGTGTATATTTGTAATATCTTTGGATTATAGCTACAGTGGAGCTCAAATTGGTTGGCTTCTAGTTGTAGATATGACATGTTTGCTTATTGATTCTAGTTGTATAGTGACTGAGGTATTAGAAGACAACGATATCTGGGATTTTCAAGAAAATCTCATCACATGCAGTATTTTTCACCATGGGTCACATTTTGGGATCTGGGGAGTAGAGTGCTAGCTGACAGTAACTGAGGAGATAGTTAACTTAAAAATCTGGACTACTCACTTTGATCAGTTCCTGTCATAGACCTTTGGTTATCATTTCCTGCTTTAATTCAAATTATGTTATGTGTTGTGCAGAGACTCTATGAAGCATTTAAGGAAAATCAGTATCCTGATCGTCAAGCAAAAGAGAAGTTGGCAAATGAACTTGGACTCACAGCTTACAAGGTTGGTGGAATCTCTTCACAACTGATGAAATTTCATATTGTATGCTTGTCCCTATTCTTAAAATGCTTTCTTGTGCAGGTGGACAAATGGTTTGGCAATGCTCGTTGGAGCTTACATCACCATCCATCACGTGTAGAAGCAAGCATGACCCGAGTTGTATCAAATAGCAGTTCTCCTCATAGTGTTGCTTGCATTGGAGGTGAGAGTGCTTTGGCTGATACTAATACTGCTGTCCCTGAGTGTGGCACTGCAGATACCAGTACATTGGATGTGGCCAGTGGAAAGATATCCTCACCTCCCAAGTCTGGGATGAATGTAGAAGGCAATCAGTCAATGCTTGAAACATCAAAGGCAGAGGTTTCGAAAGAGGGTACTCAAAATGAATCACTTGAAACTGCTGAAGCTTCACAAGGAAAACTGCCGAGGAAAAGAAGGAAATCTGGTGCCTGAGTTATTTCTCGTTTGGGAAAATCCACCGCAATTGTAGAAACCAAGTTTCCGTAGAGCTTAACAGTCATATTCTTCAGATTGCGACTATGAAGTTTCACCCTAACTTATGAGTATGACTCTTCCATTCTGATCATTTGTGTTTCCAAGGGCAGAATAGTTGTGAAGAGTATTATCTCGCTCATCAATACAGCAGCTACTAGAGTAGGTGATATATATGCCTAGTGGATATGGATGGTGCGGCTCTTTTCTGTTTCCTGAGTAGTGTAGGCAGCAAACTGTTTTTATTTTCGTGTTCTTACCCTTTGTTAAACATAGTCTAGTGGGTTGTATGGATGTGTAAAGATCTATGCTCCTTCAGAAGGATGAGAAGCTGTGTCATTGAAGTTTGATTCTTGAAGTAATTAGTTTAGGGTAGAATCAACTTTGTAATCCTGTAACTAATGCAAATATTGACACACCGAGAACTAAAGTTCCTGTACTTATTCATTACTGAGCTTCTGGAGAAGAATAGACAATTGCAATTTTGGTATCTCTCATTCTTATTTATAAATGAGTTTGTAAGTCTGTTCCACAGGATACATGAATCGATTATGTGTTGTGTACGATCCAATGCAGGTGCTTTTGCTCGTGGTTCTTCAATGTGGCTACCTGACATTTCTAAGTGTTAGCTTCCTTAGTTTGATCTTATCTTCTCGTATATGTTTGGTGCAGCCTTTTACGATCGTTCCAATTTAATAGGACTTTTTCCTAGCGATGCTGCTAAGTAAAAGAATAGGTGTTGCAGTAGTACCTATTCTTTGAATCATACGAAGGAAGTAAAAGAAAAGCAGGTTACTGAGGCAGCATTACCAAATGAACATAGAAACACCAAATGCAAAAATCCAAATGGCTATTTATAGAAAGTAAATACATTTACTAAATTGGTTTTCAGTGTAGTAGTAAATTATGATAAAACACAAATGTTTGGTTAAGGTGGATTTTCATTAACTCATTGTTAGACGGATTAAAATTACCCTAAAAGTATTTAAAGTTATAATACTACATCCTAACATAAATTTTAGTTTATAAAACACATGTATTATATTAATCATATTAGCCTTTGTAGCATCTATCTATAACGGAGTAGAAATTATATACTTCGTATTAAATACAATCAAACTCGTTACAAATTAAAAGTTATCCTTAAATGTATTAAAGTTACCATTAAAAATGTTAAAATTACCCTTAAATTGACCGTCTTATAATAAAATTAATAAACATGCTTTATACAAGACTTGACCAAGATAAAATCATGTGTCAGTCATTATTATTAATGTTTTGCTTATGTTTGATATTTCTACTTAAACTTCTTCTAGTCAAGTCTTAACTCTTAAGACTGCCTAAGAAACACCAAATGCCAAACAAAGAAAAACTTACCCACTTTATGCGCCAATTGGCAATCATCTCCCCTCATGCGGCATGCTCACTTCAATACCAAGGTCATGAGAAAGACCAGGCATTACCTACTTTCTCTCCTCATGCCCAATCCAAAATTCCGATGCTCGACAATTGGCAACTGACAATACTCTATTATACAAGTATTGATAATATATACTCCATACTTCGTATTTTTATAATATCAACATTATAATACTATGGAGTATATTTTTATTTTATGTTACAACTACTGACATGTATTTTGCTCAAATTATATGTAGCACTCCGTAAGACATATTTTCTCCATGTTTAAACAAATGAAAAGTTTTCTTTGTGCACGTATTTTAATAGAATATTTTGCTTGATAATTTTTTTAATTATTAATAAGTAAAAATTTAATAATTAGATATTAATACACTATTAAGAACGATTTCAACAAGTACCCAAAATATTGTACAAAGTATGTATTTGTATGTATAGATCACAAAATATTAGTCTAAATAAATATAGTGCAAAAATTTAAAACGTTTCGTGTCAATTATTTTAAAACGGAGGGATCGATCAACGTCACCTAGTCTCCCTTAAAAATGGCGGCAATTCATAGAAATACAATTACAAGTACACAGTAACATCAATCCTCAAAACACTCAAAACTCCTCTCATTTCTGAAACCAAAACACTTCAACCAGTAAAACCACCTTTCATTTCCTTTGCTATTTTGTCATCACTGCAATTTTCCCAGAAAATGAGAGAAACAGAGATGCGATTGCAACTGGAAAACTGGTGTCATCTTGCCGACGACGATGAACTCCTCTTAGAAATTGTTGATCGTATCGATTGCCATTTAAACCTCTGCAAATTCCGAGCAGTTTGCCGGAGTTGGCGTTCTCCTGCTCACGCTACATCTCGTTTCTTATTCTCTACTCTCCCTCTTCAAATCCCAGTTCATGATCACCATTTTAGATCATTACTGGGTTGTGAAAATCGTCTTAAGTTCTTGGTTGGAAGTGTTGTTTATCTGATTCAACCTCTCAATCAAAAAAACTTTGATTCCCCGAAATTCTGGGTTGTTTGTCTTGAAGAATCGAATCCGGGTTTGTTGAAGTTTCGTTACCCTCTTACTAAAATACCCATTGAAAATCTTCCTAAGAATTTCCCTAAATCGTTGAATTCGTTGCGTTTTCGGGTCTCGATTGTTGGGAAGGGTTTTAAGTTTTGTTTTTCTAATGGGAATGAGGATGTTTTTGAGAGTAGATTTTTTTATCAGGGGTTTGAGAATTGGAGTGATTTTCCTACCAAAACTAAAGTGCTTTTGTTTGATGAAAATGTATTGGTGGAAAAGTATGATTATTCATTCGCTGTACTGATTCTTAACCTTGGGGGAATTTTGGGTGTTATGAGACTAGGGGTGTGGCATTACATGAGAAATATTCATGGTGTTTTCTTCGATGACATTGTTAAATTTAAGGGGAAGGTTTGTGCTATTGATCGTAGGGGAGTAGTTTATGTTATCGATGATCGTGTATCGAGGGTGATGAAAGTTATAACTCGGCCTGTTTGTGTTGGTGATGCTAATGGTAGGCGTAAGCTCTTGGCAGAAGCACATGGGAAGTTGTACATGATTGTTCGAGATCGTTTTAAGTTTCGGGTTTTTAAGCTGAATGAAAGGCAACAAAAGTGGGATGAGGTGAATAGTTTGGAAGATAGGATTTTAATTGTGACTTTTGATGGTTGTTTTTTTGTTGAAGCAAATGATAATCCAGGATGTAGAGGGAATTGCATATTTTTCCCTAAGAACTGTTTTCCTAATTATTCTAATGGCTACCACCCTGATGATGAATTGTTTAAAGGAGCTAGCAAGTACCTTGAAGTTGGTGTCTTCTATCTGAATGAGGATCGTGCTCGGCTGGTTTCATCCTACTCAGGTTTATCTGATATGTTTTGGCCACCTCCATCATGGATTTGGCCGAATTCACGCTCTTTTACATGGTACAGAATTCATAGCCTTCCATTGATTAATGATTGATTCTATTTCACTATTTTAGTTTTTTCTATTTCAATGATTTATCCTCGAAATGTTTTCTTAGAAGGGTGTTGATATGTGATGCTCAATTGCTCACTACTAAGTTCTAAGTACAAAATTGTATGCTATTCAAAAAAAGTACAAAATTGTATCAGATACATTTCAGTATTTCAAGGGCTAAGCTTGTTTGATGGGTGTCAGACTTCAGGTGACCATTTCAAGTGTTAATACTCTGCCTAGCTAAATCTTGCTAAGATGTTAGTGTGCTTCAATTATTAAATTGTATGTGGTTAGGCACTGCCTAGGCTGCTTGCACAATGCATTGTATGAACATCTCATTTATTGGTGTTATGTTGCTCCAATCTTAATGCTGTTGGTGCATGTCATGCATGATATAATTGTCTCGGTCTAAGTAACACGTTTGAAGTAGCTCCAGCAATTAGTACAGTCAATAGCTTATATGGAAAAGTGCTTTCAACTTTGATGCTTTCTAATTTTCTCTGCCTTTTTTGACTAGGGAGTTCGAAAAAATTGAGCAGCAAGAGGACTACTCTTGCCAAAAAGGTGATCCTTCTCACTAAGGAAGCTCCTTTATTTGGTTTATTCTTTTGTTTCTTGGATGTAATCTTAGCTAGGTTAGCTTTTCTTTTTTGTAGAGGTACCAGGTGAGAATTGTGATGATTTGATTCCTAGGAGAGATTGGTCGGAGCTCCCCAAAGAATTGCTCAAGGTGCTTGCTGATCACCTTGCTACTCGTTTGGATCACTGCAGATTTCGTTCAGTTTGCAAAAAATGGCATTCTTCTTGCCATCTTTCTGGATCCCTCTTATATTCTCAATTGCCTCACCATGTTAATCCTAGCTTCATATTCGAAAAATCAAATCATTCCATTTTTCTTATGGCTAGACTAACCTATGTTCTGCGTCCCCTTAATCAAAAGATCCCGAATTCTGCAAAACCCTGGCTAATCTCAGTTGAAGACTTGAACCCAGGAAAACTCCAAATCTGCCATCCCCTCAGTAAAATCCCATTTAAGAATATGCCAGTGACTTTCCCAAAATTCTTGAATCTCCTTGAGTTTCAGGTATCTAAAGTGAGTTTTGGGTTCAAATTTTGTTATTCCAATGGTGATGATAAGGTTTTCAGAGATTGTGGGATCTCAATACCTTGGTCAGATTATTCTCATCCAACTAAAGTGGTAATACTCTCTGAAAATGCAACCTCTATTGAAGATTGTATAGCAGTTGTTTTATTCCTTCATTTAGGAGGCTCATTCGCTTCTTTTAATTTGAGGACTAACCAATGGAGATATATCAGCAAAACCAAACGACATTGCTTTGATGATATAGTAAAATTCAAGGGGTATATCTGTGCTGTGGACCGTGAAGGGATAGCTTACCTCATTGATGGTCATAGCATGAGGATAGTTGATACTATCGCAGAGGAGCTGAGTTACTCTTATGCACGTAAGCAAAGGCGTAAGCTATTGGTTGAATCATTTGGAGAACTGTACCTGATTGTTAGAGGCCCTTGGGATTTTAGGGTTTATAAGCTGCATGAAGGGCATCGTATGTGGTATAAGGTGAATAATATAGGAGATAGGATTCTGTTTGTGAGTTTTGACAACTGCTTCTTTGTTCAAGCTAAAGATTTTCCGGGGTGCAGAGGAAATTGTGTTGTGTTCCCTAAGAATTGTTTTCCTCTGTATACTGGAGGATATGATCCTGATTATGAGCTATTTAAAGGAGAAAGAAATCACCTTACGACTGGTGTGTTCTACTTGGATGAGAATCGTTGTAAGCTGCTATCATCTTACCCGAGCTTGTCTGAGTTATTCTGGCCACCTCCTTCTTGGCTTTGCCCTGATACATACCCCTGGTAAACTGCTATACCTTTATACTCCCTATATGTAATTAATATGTTATTATTAATTGAAAACTTTCTGATTGTGTTGGTAAGGTAGGTTTGGGATCTATCATTGAAAGATGATAATATTCAAATCTGACCGTGTTTTCTTGTGGGGGGGGGGGGGGGGTGAGCTGGATGTGAGTTGTTGTGCAGTTAAATTTTCTTTTGAAAATAAAGCGTATCTGGGCTAGTGTTGAAGATATGGCTTTAAAAGTTTAAAAGTTCATGAGTTTTGATTATGATGAAAATAAATTGAAGATTAGTCAGAGATTTTAAACCCATTCTTTGCATCTTTCTGGCTGTTAGTTAACCTGTCTGGGCATATATTTAGCTTTAAAATTGATGAGAACTCTTACATTTGGAAGAAGATAGCTAGCAAGGTTGGTGATCCTTGGAGGTCATAAAAGGCACTGTTGGTACTGATGGATTACTTGCACAGTGCATGTCACTGAAATTAAAAGAGCTGTCATATGGGTTTACAATTAACATCTTTAACCAAGCATTTTGCAAAGTGTTTCTGCTCAAAAGCAACAATGATAAGTGAAAGCTCTTACTTTTCGAGACAGATTGGTGTCTCATTAAACATCATACCGAATATAAACTCTTGTGCATGTAACACCCTTCATTATGTACACTTAAGGCTATTTTTATATTATCATTCCCCCTATGCTTGATGTATTTGCCATGAGTAATTAGAACACATAGGAAAATACTGTCCATTGGAAAAGCTAACGTAAACCAATTTGTATCAGTGAAAAGGAAAATAAAGCAATGGATTGCTCTAGCCAAAGTAAACCCAGCTCTGAAGATGAAGAAACAGCTACAGATGGTAAATAACCTTAATCATTGTCCTTAACTGAACCCAATAAAAGAGAAATATATAAATAAATTTGGTTGTTGCCCTAACTTCTTATATTTTGTTTCAGAGTTCACATGTCAGAGTGATGATGAATTGTATCCATCCACCAGAGCTCCTTTTGAGGTACTCCATCTATAGCATTGGCTTTCAAAGTTCTTATGGTTGGACTCATGTGATAAACTATGTTACTTGGACTTGTGTACCAGTGTCCCTCAAGTGCTTCTCTTTCGCTTGTTAATATTTAATGTCATGATGTTTTTATGCAGATTTCTGAAAGCCCTTTGATGAAGAAATTCCAAGGAGTGGATGTAAGGTCTGATTTGGTCCCTTATTTGCGAAAGTTATGGAAGAAAGATAATTTTATTAATGGGAATGCTGTCCGAAGTAATGGCCTTTTTACATGGGCATTTGAGTCGCTTGCGAAGATGATGGTCATACTTCAAAATAACAGGGGCAAGGGGAAGTCTTCATTGAGCGAAACCCAGGCTGAATATCTGAAGAACACCCTAATTGACCTTCAGTCTATGAATTTCAGATTAGACTGGTTGGTTCCAATAGTTGAGAAGACTACGGCTCGTTACAATAGCAAGGAGCCAGGGGATGCAGTGATGGAGCTTGAGGTAGAGAGAAACAGGCTCCTTAGTAAATTGCACAAGGTGGAAGAAAAGTTAAATGAGCAGGAAAAACTTGTGACTCTGTCCCAATGCTCTCTTCGCCATTAGTTGCTTGGCTGAAGGACCTTCATTTGAGCTTCTTATCTTTAAATATTGTCATTTATCTTCTGAAGTAATAATTTCCTGCTGTAATGGCTTGTTCGGATGAAATTCGTGTCTCCGTAATCCTTGGCTTATTACTCATTATGTTAGGGAACTCTGCTATAATTTATCAACTATTTTTCATTAAAAATTAACATGAAATACCCATGTTCACATATTGAGTCTTTTGGTTGATATTTTCTGCGGATGATTAGTCTTCAAGACATGATCTTCCTTATTATGCTCCCAAGTTGTTACATCCTTGTTTGGGCATACATGTTCTACTATCATGGTTAATACTGCACTTCATACTTGTATAAGAAAAAGAATGCTATTGTGGTGTGATGTTAGCTTTTGATTATACTTTGTTGCTTTTCATTGTTCATCTTTATGCAAACAATTTTCTATTTATAATACAAGTTCATGGCTTATTGGAATTATTTCCCATCAACCTAAATTGAGACGGTGAAGGTAGTTGTGATAATTTTAAAAGCGTTTGTTGTGTGTGTGTGTTGTGTGCGTGGGCGTGTGTGGGTGTTTGTGTTTTGGATGACAGGAAGTACTAGTCAGTAATGAATAGGCTGGGAAACAAGCAAATGCATCATAGCCTAAGCGTCCAAAAACTCCAGTCAAGCTCTCTCTTTTCGTTAGTTACGAAAATTACAAAGGGAATGAGATTTACAGTTCTGTAGAGCTAATAAGATAACAAATCTTGAACCAAATGCAATTGCTGAACAAAACAGACATGTCATTGCCAGTCAAGTAGTCAGGATCGAAATCAGTATCTCATACAGATATTCTTGCACAGTAAGACTACCTCTATCCATAACCTTGCAAGTTCCTTTTTAGGAAAGAAAGACAGCTATGAAATCTTACGAATTACATTCTACTACTGTGTTACCTTACTACAGATATACAAGTCAGAGTCCTTAGTCATCAGTTAGATTTACCCCATAGAACCTAGATAGACGTTTTGAGGTGCCATCACATAATATAGAATCTATCGTCTCGTACTTTTCGTAATGCCCTTTTAGAGTCTCAGCTTGCTGCTTTGAGAGTTTCTCTTCCTCCTCTAGCTGCTTCTGTCACAGCGAATGAAACAACATCAATATATGAGCATTACACACATAATGATACCTTGATAATGAATGGACTTAAAGGAAATACAATAACAACAGCCTAATATGTATTCCCGCAATTGGCACTTGGCAGTCTGGGAAGTAACAAATGTACGGCAATAAAATAACAGTTCTAGATTGGTATGAAAGTTTTTTCTGAAAGAATGGTAGCAAAATCTATTCTCTTTTCTTTCAAAAAAAAGTATTGAAGAAAAAACAAATGGTGAGGTGTAGAAGATACCAACATAATTATCCCCTTGAAGTAAATTTTAACAGCAAAACTAATGATCTTACAAACCTTTTGTAGGAAGGACTGTTCAGCAACATGTTTCTTTGTCAGGTTCTTGAGCTTCTGTGCCACCTCAAATTGAGGATCTTTTGGGTCTACCCAATACACTTGTATCTTCCTACCAGGCTTAGGCGGACGATCGTCAAACATTTCTGGCTCTGCATGACGACCCCTCACTGGTCTAGGCATTCCTGACATCATGAATGGATAAGAAGACAGCACCTCAATAATTGATTTTGCTTGCTTTTCATTCTTCAACTCCACAAGGGCACACTTCCCATTGTAGTTTGGCTCGATGTAGTTCGGGATGAAATGAATGTTGGTCACAGTACCATATTGCTCAAATGCAGTTTTGATGACTGCATCAGTAACCTGAGGTGAGAGATTGTCAAGATACATTGTCCGCTTCACTTTCTCCATAAAGGCAGCATATTTTTGCTCATCTTCATTTCCCATAGCCAAAAAAACCTGAAACCGCCAAATAAAAAGAGTTATGACTTCATCAGAGTATCAAACTACTGATTACAATGACAATCTAGATGAATATAACAGATTAGAACATTAAACCACCCAGGCACCCACTTTAAAAAACTACAAAGAAAATTCATAACATAACTCTCCCCTTGGGACAAGAATGTTGAATTTCTGCTTTAAGCCATCACTTGGAAGTTAGTCCAACTATTAAGCTTAATATGGCAAATGGTATAAATGCTTCACTTAATATCCTAATTCCTCCTTGTAATTTCAGCCGAACATCATCTTTAAGTCCAAAAGCTTGAAATAATACTCAAGTCAGATCTATGATTGGATGCTTTCTTATCAATTATAGGATACGACCATATATCTAATCCCATGCCATCAGGATGCACTCAGCCTGACCAAGAACTAAATTATGGAGGAACAGACCAGAATGGAGTAATTTCCTATCGAGCTAGTGATTTTGGCATATTTTATTAAGACTGGCCTATAAACTTCTCTCTGAACCAGAGTCAGAAGTCTAAAATTGATAGAGGAAAAGCATGAAGATTTCAACCCAAAAATAAAGACATAATCATAGGAGTAAAACATAAAATTTTGAAAATTGATGTAACTTCCTTCTCTCTTACCCAAAAAAAAAAAAAAAATCAAATGCAAACACAACAAACAATATAACAGTTGCCTAATAAAGCAACAAGCAGCGGCTAGTAAGAGACTTTGAACAACTTATCAACGTTAAAGGTTCTCAATATACTTCAAACAAACTTTTATGGTATGCTATAAGAAATATTGACAAATAATAGGTCAGAATTCCTGAAAAATAAATAAAATTACAAAAGCATAATTGACATCATGAAATGAAGAGGAAGAGGAGAGAGAACCGGCCAAGGCTTGTTGAAGTGATCAAAGGTGAGAAATGGTGGAATGGCAATCCAATTATCTGGCGAAGAACAGCAGGTTATGAGACTAAAGAGGTGAAGCATATAAAAGCCTAGAATGAAAATTTAACAACTTTGCCAATTCACAACAGACAATTTAAGATGAACCACCAGACATGACTATTCAACATTAAACCACCCATAATGAGGGTTCGATACTACAAGAATTATGGTTTGCATATAGCTTCACAAGGATTCTTTAGGCCTCTTGAGTAGTGTCCAACATGGCAACAATTATACTCCATATATAAGGTGCTAAAAAGGTTTAAAGGCAATTCTTTACAAATTGCTGAATTAATTAGGACTTAGGAGAATTCTCAGAAACAGGAAAGCAAGTAAGTGCTAGCGTTATTCCCCTTCAATCTCTCACCTTCACCTCATATGCTCAAAATCCCACTAAATCTGTAACACCCAAGTTCAGCAACCCTTAGTTTTGCAAAATCAATTTAAATAATCTTGGCAGAACAACATACATACCAAGTAACATCATGAAATTCTTGAAATATACCGAACTGAAAATCCATAGATAACTTAAGACACATCATGCAAGTATACAAAATCTAAATTGGACATACTACATTTGAAAGGGAAAGAAAATACTAATTTTGAATTTTGATGCCAATAAATTTACCTTGTTTACTATCATGATGAATTTTTGTATATAGCGAAACAATAATAGGGAAAACGTGATGATTTCTACCAGGCATTTCATCAAACAGGTGATGGGCATTATCAAATTACAGCTTAAGCTAAAAAAATGAACATAGTACACCCACTATTCAATTCAGGGTTTGCAGACAATAGTTTAAAGATTCGTCTCAGAAAACTATACAAATCCAATTCTAGGGTTTACAGTCAAGATTAGTAGGATACTAAAATTCTTCCATAATTTCAACAAAATCAAACATAAATCATTCAATTTTGATGATAAAAATTGATGAATTGGGGGTTTTGAGATTCAATTTAGAACTTAAGCAATCCAATAAATTTACAAGAATCAAAAGGAAGAAAGAAAAGGAAAACCACATACTTGCAATGCGAATGGGCAAAGTTGATCTGTTTCCTCTTGGCTCTGCTCACTCAATTGTAAAAATGGCAAGGATAATTTGTACTGATAAAATGACTGTACTTAATTTGGGGGCTATTTATAAGTGCTGTAAATGGGTAAAGCGTAAGGTCCGGAGATAGAATCAAAGAAGTCGTTTCGCTTTCAAAGAGGAGACGAAAAATCGTTGATTTAGGCCCGAAAGGCCGAAATGGGTAGAGCTGACCATGGGCGGAGCCAATAGGATCCATTGTTGGTTGGATCTGACACGAGAGGCATGTATGTGGGATTTGAATTGTGTATGTATTTGTTGATACAGAGCGTATAATTAATTACTCGTATTATGTAAGTTTGATTGAATAAATATTAAATAATGAAACCCATCTAGATTATCTATGGAGTAGTAGCAATGATATTTAAAATTTAGCAGATGACATCACTTGCCTATCTAAATTTTAAGAATTATAACTTTTGTTTATATTCTTAATTCTAAGAATTTCATATAATATCACAAACGATAAGTCCATGTCAAATCAATAAATTATCTTGGGACTTATCAAATCAATAAAATAAGTTCTGATCTTATTAGAAGTATTAAGGAGAGTAAAACATACCTTGGAACTACTACATGTTATCAAGTACGGACTACGGAATAATTTACACTCAATCTTAACCTACCCCTCGGACCTCACACCTTCTATAAACCAACTCTCATGACCAAATATGGTTTTGGGCACATTGTAGGCACAACACGACACTTGACTGCGTTGTGTCATGTTGTGGGCCAGATTTTGACTGTTTTTATTTGAAAAAAGCCCAATAACATGGCATAATAAAGTGCACTTAATTAAGTGAAAATTTAGACACGCAAGCAAATATGCAATTATAGACATTAATAATTAACTTTATATCTCCTTATATATCAGTCAAAGTATTGCATTGTAAACTAATGAAAGTCCACCATAGTAAATTATCTATGTTCATATAACATCTAGGGCCAAGCCCTAAGCCATTGCCATGGCCCAAAATATAATTGAGTGAAAAACCCATAAAACCTAGGATATAATTTTGGCGGGAACAATCATGTCCCTTAGGCGGGCACCAAAAAGCAAAAAACTGAGGATATATACCAAAAACAAAAATTCTCTCACTCAACTTTCAACATTCCACTCATATTTTACTTGCTTGTTGTCCAAAAACCCCAAATTACAAATTTACAAATTACAATCATAAAATAAAATTCAATCATCCAAACACATTTTCTCTTAAAATGAAAATCCAACGTCGCCGGGAACTATCCTGGTCGGAATTGCCACCGGAACTACTTCCCGCCATCGCAAAACGCCTCGAAACCCGAACCGACATCCTCCATTTCCGGCGAGTCTGCAAGACATGGCGATCTTCAGCCCCTCTCTCTCTCCTCGACTCAAAAACCATCTTAACCCCTCTTCTCCCTCACAAACTTCCAGAGATTCTGAGAAAAATCACACTAAAGTCTTAGTGGCAAACTCTGTTTTCCTCATAAAATCTGAAGCTCACCCAAATCTCCCGCCTTGGTTGTTCACTGGTGAAGAGTTGTTCCCCGGTTCGCTATCCGTAAGACGGCCTCTTTCTCGGGATATCGTTGAGTCTTATGAATTGCCTGACGATTTCCCGTATGAATTGGATTTGTCTAAATTTCGTGTGTTGGAGTTAGGTATGTTTTATAATTATAATTATTTGGATGATAATACAGTAGTCTCTGATTTCGATGTTGACGATGTTCCGGTTTTGGTACCTTATACAAAGATGCCAAAGAAGCCGTCATTTTCGGATGAAAATAAGGTTGTTCTGTTTGTGAATCCGAATTGTGAAACTGGCTGTCGAAGTATTGATGATTGTATGGTTGTGGAATTGTCTAAAGAGGTAGGTCTTACAGTGAAGAGTCTTAGAAATGGTGCGAAACGTAAGGTGTATTTTATGGGGAAGAGGAAGTTTGATGATATTGTTAGTTTTAAAGGGAAGATTTATGCTGTTGATAGGAAAGGTAGGGTGTGTTCGATGGATTATAATTCGCTTAAGATGTCGAGTGTTGTTGAGGATCCGCCGAGTGGGGGTTCGAGTAATGAGAAAAAGAAACGATTAGTCGTGTCAAGTGATGATGAATTGTACTTAGTGTATAGATGGTCTAAAAAAGGAAAGGCGGCGTTTAACGTGTTTAAGCTTAATGAGGAGGAGGAGAAGTGGGATATGGTTGATGGTATTGGTAGTGATAGGATGTTGTTTGTTACTCTTGATGGTTGTTTTTTTCGCCGCGGTTAAGGATTTTCCGGGGTGGAGGGGCAATTGTATTGTGTTCCCTTGGGGTAGCTTTCCTCAATATTCGGGTAAGATGACTCTTGACAGTAAGATATTGAAGTCACCATACTTGGATGAGATTTTTATTGCTGTTTATCACTTTGAGGGTGGTGATTGTAAGCCTGTATACGATTATCCGGGCTATGCCGATATCTTCTGGCCACCCCCGTCATTGGTCTGGAACGATGTGTGTTTGAACACAAGGTGAGATTAGCCTAGACTTTTGTAGAAGAACATTGCAATATAATGTTTTCTGTTTTTATATATTTGAGGTTTTTATTAATAATGCTAACTTTGAAATGATTGTATGTGTTATTCTTAAGTGGAATGGATTCTGAAGGAGGTGAACAAAGAGAAGATAAAGAAAGTGTTACAGAAAAAGTCGAAGTAGAAGGACAAGGAGGAGGAGATGAAGAACAAGAAGATAATGATAAGCTACAAAGTAATTCTTCTTGTCATATTTCTCCTGAGCTCATCCATGAGGAAGTGAATCCCCTCAATGGCGCGCAAGTTTCCAAGGGCATTCAAACTGATCAAGAGCGCATAGTTCTTGAAGGTAATCAACCTTATGCCGCGCACTTCTTGTTGAGAACAAAACAATATAGAACAAGAGGAGGAATTTGTTAGTGAACATTTAAGATCATATGACTTGTGGGTTTGCCAATTGATGAAGAGTTTACACATCATATACTAGAGCTTCCTGCATTTTTCCTATCACCTGTAGCTATGTTTATACTTGTATGCTATATCAATCTCTGAAGGAACTCCTTGGATTTGATTCCAGAGTTTAAGGATCAGAAAAGTGGTGATTCAGTGCCGGCAGCGAACTCTCCTCCTCCTAAGGTATCATATATGATGTATTGGTTGGCCCTCGTTTCTAAAAGAAGCTGTCACAGTCTTTACAGAACTTGCATATAATCAATATTTATTTTCTATATGTTGCGATTCTTGTGTTTCAGGCCTCTGCCTTAATTTATATATGTTCTTTGCAGATTGCTGAAAAAGATGGCTCAGGAGCAAAATTCTTTGGAGTTGATGTGAGCTCTCATTTGATTCCGATTTTGCAGAAGATATGGGATAAGTGTGGAAACATTATAGAAGGGCATGTTGTGAACAGTGGAAGTCTTCTTACTTGGGCCTTAGAATCTCTTGCTAAGATGATTATTTTCCTTGAGAATAATGAAGGAAGGTCATTAGATGACTCCCAAGCTGATTATCTCAATTCAGTCCTCCTTGACCTTCGACTGATGCACTTTAAATTAGATTGGCTAATGCCCTCAGTAGAGAAGGTTTTAGCACCTCACAAAAACAAGGTTTGTATGGATTTTGAAAAGACGAATCTCGAGTTCCAAACAGAGTTTCATTGGGTGGAAGAGATGTTGGCTGAACCGACAAAGCTTGTTTCAGAGAGCCAAGTGGTCTCAGCTGAAGGACCATGCCCAGTCCTCGACCTCCTCAGCTTCATAGTATAATTTTACTAACTTTTGCTAAATCTGCATGTGATTTCATATATGGTAAATATTTTCTTGCTAAGTTCTTATGCTTCTTTGTTTTGATTCAAGGACAAGCAATAGCTGTCAGGATTCAGAAATCAGAATTCTCAAGCTGAGGAATTGAGAAATCAACTACACTTTTGGAGATGCATCATAATTTATGCTTATGGAAGGGAGTTTTTGTTCACCACTGTAAAGTAATGGTTCTGTAAACCAAACTGTTAGTTGTAGCAATGATGCTCATGTCTTTAGGACTCGAAAATGGCCACTCGTAGTTGCAGTATTAATAGGACCTCTGCAGGGAGAAGTCTTTTGATACAAATTGACTGGTCTAATTCTATCCTCCTTTTGTGAACTGGTTGTTATGAAATATATATGACTTTTGACTGAGCCAATACAGCTTGATGGTATCTCGCCCCCTTCTGAATCTTTATTCAGACAAATTTCATCCCTATATCTTCTGGCTTGTGTATCATTCTTCCTGCTACTGAAGTATATTCTAGGTTTTGCCTTCTGTTATATGTTCAGCAATTGAGGAGCTTTTTGATAATGTAATCTGGTACATTTCTAAGTGATTGGTTGGCATTGAGTAAGCACCAAATTGTCTTGCAAAGTTGCAAATTGAAATTGCCTCTTGAACCAGTCAAGCTGTTAGTATCAACCATTGAGTAATCAACATTGTACAACGTCGTTTTGTTTAGAATCATCACATTAGTTGTGCAGACCTCATTCTGATGTTTGTTTCAAGAAATTGGTCATTATTAATCATACACAGAACCTGCTAGCCTTAACTTGTAAAGCATGGATGCTATCAGTTTCTTCACCAATTCGGTATGAAAACATTTTCTAGAATAGTGAAGTATCATAGTAGGCAATTAGGCATATGCCAAAGAGGTTAGTCAAGTTGGTTTGAACTTTCAAGTCTAATATTTGTAAGTCCAACTGTCACGACTAATGTTCACGTCGGCTTTCGAGCCACCTTTCGGTTTCAAGTCTAATACTTGTTAGCAGCATTGCAGCAAGCTAACTCTAATAGTCGTGGTAGAGGTTTGCTTCTTTCATTAGAGATTAATTAGTGATGTCTATTCATCTATTGGCTAATTGGCTAGTGTTGACTGTAGGTTGAGTCTAGTTTGGTTTGGTATTAAGATTAAATGATAAACTAGAGAATAGCTACTCCGTAATTAACATGTGATAGAATGATCAAAAAGTAATTTTTGTAATTGGAAGTCTCAAACTAGAGAATAGAGATACCCTAAGAAAATACACTTGGACTGTAACAATCAAATTTTTTCTTTGAATTAAAAGCCAATAGAAGTTTGGTTTTAAACAATACTCGTACGAAGTATGTTGTTTTGGGCAGTGAGGTGATCACTAATTCATTGCACATCTAGGTGCGTAAACCACATTTCTAGTTTATCGCTCAATTAGATATTAGGCAAGGAAGTGTGAGTCGGGTAATGGACACGACGTATATAGGAACAAATATGTACGAGAAAAAGTAAAATTTAAATTAAGGGACACAGGTATGACAAATCGTTTTTACTTTTAAATTGTACACTTATTAATATGCTTTTATATGGTCAATTGGTTCATAATGTTTTTTTATTTTTCTATTTTATGATTCATGCCTAATCAAATTACGGATTACGTACTGTCTAAAATGTGAGACAACAGTTTTGGTGAGGAAAATTTTCACTAGAATTCAACACGTGTTACTCTTGATGCCTCTTTTCGTATAATTTAGTTTGGCTTATGACTTAACAATACTTAAAAAACATGATTTGGATTCATTTTTATGTACGGTATATTATAATTTCCTTTTTTTTTTTGTACTTCTTAATTTACGAAGTATATTTTAGTACAAGAGTAACATAATACAAAGTAATTGCAAAATATTTATGGTCAACAATAGTATGTGTGTTAGGAAGTGTCAATTTGGATACTTGAGTCGAGTGAGATGATGTCGGATCCATTCTATTTCAATGTTGAAGTTTATACGGGTTGAAATCTAAACTGGGTTTTTTTCGAATCAAATTAGATAGGATCGATCAGGTAAGTTTTTGACACCTATGTAAATGTTGATCTTTAATCTAAAGGGCAGAAAGTTAATCGCATAAGAATTGGTTGAAGAACCCTAGGCTAATATTCTCTGTAATTCCGTATTGAAGAACCCTAGAATTGGTGACAGTAAACATGACAAGCAACCGTCGCCGGCGAGTTCCATGGTCGGAATTACCGCCGGAATTGATAACAGCCGTCGCAGAACGCCTGGAAACCCGAGCAGACATCCTCCATTTCCGGCGAGCTTGCAAGACATGGCGAGCTTCAGCCCCCCTCTCTCTCCTCACCCCAAAAAACATCTTATCCCCTCTATTCCCACACTCATCGATAGTAATCGTACCAAATTTCTAGTCGCAAATTCCGTATTTCTTGTTCGATCAGCCATTAATCCCAAGCTTCAACCTTGGCTAGTCTCCGTTGAGGAGTCAAACCCAGGTAAATTATCCGTTAGATCACCCCTTTCTCGTCTCGTTGCTAAAAGATTACCTGAAAAATTTCCCCATAACTTGGATTTGTCTCAATTTCATGTTTCGGAATTGGCTAGGTTTCATACTTATAAACTAGTTGATAAGAATTCCACTGATAATAATAGTGATGGTGTTGTTAGGTATTATAATCATCCAACAAATGGTTTCCCTTTAGATAATAGGGTGGTTTTGTTTGTGAACCCGGATTGCGCAAAAGATGATTATACTGTTGTTGAGTTGTCTAATGTTACAGCTTTATTTGTGAAGAGTGTTATGGATGGAGCAGCTCATCATGTAAGTTCCTGGGGGCGGAAGCTCGATGATATAATTAGTTTTAAAGGGAAGATATACGGTGTTGATCGAAAAGGTAGGGTGTTGTCCATGGGCTATAAGTCGTTGAAGATGTTGAAAGTTGTGGAGGAACCATTGTGTGAGGGATCAGGAAGTGAAAACAAGAAACGTTTGGTTGTATCTTGTGATGAGTTGTATTTAGTTTATACTGTATGGGGTTTTAAGAATACATTTCCAACGACATTTAAGGTTTTTAAGTTGAACGAGGAGGAAAAGAAATGGGATAAGCTTGAACAAGGTATAGGTAATGATAGGATATTGTTTGTTACCTTTGATGGTTGCTTCTTTGCCCCAGCCAAGGATTTTCCGCGGTGGAGAGGCAATTGTATTGTATCCCGTAAGAAATGTTTTCCCCTGTATTCTAGCAATCGGGTTGTTAATATTGCAATGTTGAAGGGGGTAATGGGTATTGTTGTTTATCACTTTGAGGGTGGTGATTGTCGCTATCTACTTGAGTATCCGAGCTATTCCGACTTCTTATGGCCACCCCCATGATGGCTTTGGACAGATGCAAGTCTGCTCTCATGGTAGGATTGGAACATGTGTATACTTGAGTATTTTCCTGGTAATAGATTTTCATAATAAATGCTAACTGTTAGTTGGTTTGTGATGATTTCTTTAGTGTAACTGATTCTGGTTCAGAAGGAGGAGGATTACTGGTTCAGAAATAGAGATGAAGCAGAAGATGGAGTAAAGCTGCAAAGTGGTTCTTCTATTAAAATTACTCCAGATCTCATCCCTAGGGAGGAGATAGATGAGATATCCCCCAACTATGTGCAGGTTGCTGAGCGCGTGCAAAATGTTCTGCAGCATGTAGCTCATGAAGGTAATAAAGCTTACCCCGTGCACTTCATGTTGATAACTGAATTTAGTAGTTTAACTTTAAAGAACAAGAGGAGAATGACCAACATATAAGATCATATGACTATTGGGTTAACTAAGAGAATAGAGCAAACTCGAGGCCAAATCAAGAGAGCTTGCTTCTACACAGTTAATCATAAGTTTTAACCAAAAGTAAAGTTTTAATCAAAAGTAGACTTTACCTTTTTGCCCATTTATATTAGCTAGTAAAGATTATACCCTTACATTTCTTAGCTTCCTTTCCCTTTTCCCAACTACATTCTTTTCCTATGTTATATCATTCTCTTAAACTATATCCTTTTTAGTTTCAGGTTTCAACAATCAGAACAATGTTGATTCAGCTCCAACTGTGAACTCTCCTCTTAAGGTAACTTCGTTGGAGACATTTTCATGGTTATATCTGCTGAAATTGTGGTTGTATATCCTTTATGTACACAAATTGGTGTGTCAATGCAGTGAGCGATTTAATGTCTGCTCTGGTCTAGGACTTTAGTTCTGGGACCTTGCTAACATTGATCTGAATTCACTTTAAGATTCCCTTGTATTATAGAATTTCTGTTGCGTCCTTATCTTGCTGCACTAATAAAAAGCTACTAAATAAATCAATGACCTTCAAATTGTAATTACTGTATTTCATTTCCATTGAAGGGCAGAGGCATTATTTAAGTTTCTTTATGTTCTTGTACAGATATTTGAAAAGGATGTCTCACAATCAAAATTCTTAGGAGTTGATGTGAGCTCTCATTCGGTCCCAATATTAAAGAAGATATGGGCTAAGCATGGAAATATAACAGAAGGGCATGTAGTGTCTAGTGATTGCCTCCTTTCTTGGGCATTAGAATCCCTTGCAAAGATAATAATTATCCTTCAAAGCAATTCAGGGAGTTCCTTAGATGACTCTCAAGCTAAATATTTGGAGTCGACACTGCTTGACCATCAATTGATGCAACTTAAATTGGATTGGCTAGTTCCCTTGGTTAAAAATGCTTTGTTTCTTCACAAAAACAAGGTTATCATGGAGCTTCAGATGACAAAATCCAAGCTCCAAACAGAATTGCGCGAGGTGGAAAAAAAATTGGCGGACAGGGAAAGCTTGTTCCAGAGTGCCAATTGGTCTCAGCTTCATCATGTGTGAAAGATGTGCTTTGCTGAAGGACCACGTTCAATCAGCTTCATCTGCTGTATGTTAACATTTTAATAACTTTTGTTCAATATTATTTTTGATAGAACCAATATAAATTTATATAGTTCTTTCTGGATTTTATATTGATTATACACTTATACTCCTGAAATGACATCTTGTGTTTTTCTTATTGTAGTTTGATTCTTATAAATGTTGGCAGAGGTTGTTCGATAGATTGGCTGCTTTTGCTTTTTTTGTTGGTGATTGTATATATGGTAACACGGGGTACCTTTTTGCTAAGCTCTTATGCTTCAAATGTAATTTGGTTTATTGAAAGCAGTTGCTGTCAAAAATCTGGATTTTCAAGCTGATATAGGTTATGCTCTTGGAGACATGTTCACCAAATCACCAGGTTTTACTTATGGATGAAAAAGTTCTAGTTTACCACCCTACATTAGTGGTCTGCAGACCATGTACATATAGGTGTTTAGGATAATGTTTATTTTTCTGACCATCTACTTGCAGGGAAAAAAAGTTGTTGTTCAATATAAATCCTGCTCGCCTTGTAATCATCCTTTTGTGAACTAATTGTTATGCATATTTAGTATTTATCCCAGTGTTTGATTTTGAAGATTAAATTTCTGCTCTATGTCAGGCATGAGGAATGTTTCTATTTTATCAGTAGATAATTCTGCAATTTAACTTATTAGTTATAGTCTGATCAAATCTTTGACCTGCTAGGATTTGTAAAGGCGCAATGGCATAACAAGGAAATTCACAAATCCATGTATTAGCAGCAGAGAAAATTATCAGGCAATGTTACAGGTTGTAGTGAACATGAAATTGAGTGCTACTCACAAACATTTTACTTGCTGTTGGAGAGGCTTAAGAATGCAATGGTTTAAGGAACAATACCACTATACCAGCAGCAGGGAACAACTATAAAATTTAATTCAAGTTATTAATTTATGTTCTTCTTCTCTCCCCTCCCTCCCTTCCTTTTCTCCTTTATCCAAACAAGGGAAACATATTCTTCCTCCCGTCTAGGAAATGATTTTAGCACATCAAAAAGTGATTTAAGCACACCCATTGTCAGAGCACAATTGTCTGTACCCCTCTTACATGGAGGTGTGTAAATATCAATAATAGGCGTGCCAAAATCAATTTCCCTCCCGTCCCTTCCCCCCTCTTTTCCTTCCCCTCCCTTCATATAATTGTATCCATAAATAGTGTAAGCAAGTTGATCATCACAATATTTTTTTTTTTTTGGTAAGTAAGATTTTATTACCAAACGAGGAGGGACAAGCCCTCAAAACCCCAACTACAAAGCCAATCTGGCCAACCAACCTCCTAATCAAAAAACAAAAAACTACCTATTGAATTAGGCAAAAACAGACCAAACAACATCTACAATGAGATCACCTCCATTTGCTATTTCTAAGCTGTTGAGCCCTATCCACTACTCCACTACAAATAGTATAGCAGAGTCTATCAGGATGAATCAAAGCCTTATCCCAGTAAGCTTTAATCCTAGCAGCCCAAAATTGATAAACACAAGTAGTCAAAGCAGCCAATCTGATTTTCTGTTTCACCTCATCTCTGACACTTCTTTTCCAGTGCTGCCACGTTCTAGTAATGTTAAAGTGTTTTTCCTGGACTTTAATCCAAGTACTCACAGTAGATAAGCATCTTCTGCTATAACCACAGTCAAAGAATAAATGGGAATGAGATTCACTAGCTGCATCACATAACAGGCAAGTATCCACATGTTATGGACTCACAGACAGGTCGACGGTTTCAGTTGTATACTCGGCGTCCAAGACAACAAACCATGGGGTAGCAACAAGACATGGGGCAACAACAACAACAGCAACAGCACACTGATCAACAAGAAGACGCAGGTTGGAGATAAATGGTTAGCAGTTAGCTCTACTCACATTTCACATTTGGTTAATCGTGCAAATAACTAATCATTAGGAGTAGGTTGGAGATAAAAATGGTTAGGTCATTCATCCTAAAAATGAAATCTTAATCAAATTAAAACTAGAAACGGCCAAAGATAAACTATACATACTAATGATGAATCCTCATAAATGATCTAAACTTGTTCAGTTACTCCGTCATTGAGTTAGAGATGGAAATTAGCAACCTACTAATCATAAAGTAAGCTTTACTCTACTTGAACAACTATTATGCGCAAAAACTTTGTTAATTAGAAGAGAAAGGTTTTGTTAATAAATGTTGGTACATGTCAACGACACTTGTAGGGACAGCTAGCATCACCCTCACCGCCTCCCTCTGATTATGAATTGGCAATAACAAATAGTACCTATCACTGCAAATGGGCCCCACATGCACTGGTTTTCCAACCCCGAAGTCAACTCTTTCCAGCCCAAGCCTTGACCATTGGGACAGTATCAACACCCCTACTGAGTCAGGACTCGTCCGATTCCCACTCACCAACCCGATCACTTCTCTTACGAACGTACCATTTACTCTTTCTTTTGCACTTTTTATTAGATCCGAAGCATAGCCCAACCCCCTTTCGTTTATGTCCTTAACCGTGCTTTGGGCGCATGCAAGCGCGAATCCATTACCATAAAATCCAACGGGTAAACCCGGTTTGATTCGGTTCCGAAAATTGACACTAAAAACAAGTCTTACGACCTGGTTAGAGGGCATGTGTAACGATTTAGGCCAACATCTCCAAATATGGGTCGAGACAACTTCAAATGACGTGTATTTTGCTAACTCGGTGAGTCGACTAGCTTGTCGTTTGAGTTGGCTGATCTGAAACTTGACAAAGACACTAGAAGTTGGGACCAGTGTTTCCCTAGAGAATCTAGCAAGGAACTCACAGCAATCCTGAACTCGGCTAAACTCGGGATGACTCACTGAGTTAACACGGACACTCCCCTTGGGCTTACTCGATGGAAACGGGTCAAGCAAGTGACGATCCCATACAGGTTTGGGCCCCTGAACCACACCTCCACGAGCCAACTCGGCAAATGAGTTGATGAACTCAGCACTCCCAATCCCATCACACACACAATGGTTAAACCCGAACTCGATTGCCACCGTGCCGTCAGCAAGCCACGTCAGTTGGACAACAAGAGGTGGAGCCCCCTTCAAAACATCTTCCACGTGTAACCACAAGAGCTGGCGCCACTCCCCCACGTAGCGTGGGGCCCTCTCAAAGCCGGCCCTCTGGTAGCCAGAATGAGCCTCAACAAACACAACCCCCTGAGCCCGACACACAACCTGGAGAGGCCCATCATGGCTCTCTTGAACTCGACCCGCCAAGGGATAGTATTGTACCAAAGCGCGTCCCAAAGCCGACTTAACACGAGCAGAGAATCCCCTGCGATCCAACCCAGGGGAAGGAGTGTAGACAAGCAAATACTCAATACTGAAGCGGAGAAAGAGCTGAGAATCAAGGGTGGAGAGTGGAAGCGTGCAGTTTGGGGTGGGCTCTGATGGGATGATAACTATGGCTTCGTTCACTTGAACAAAATTACTCCCCATCGTCTGGAAAGTGTAAATGAAAAGCGATGCTATGAAAAATTGAAAAAGGGAAAGAGGGAGAAGGAATGATAAGCTTGTGGAATTTGAGGGCACAGTTGCAAATGGAAGGGACAACAGTGAAAATATATAAGAGAAGGGGGAGAGTGAGTGAGCGAGTGAGCCTTTGAGCAAGGCGGAAAGCGGGGTTTACAATGGAGGTGGCCTTATCTGACCTAGGATTTCTATCGGTTTTACCAGTGATCTTTTGCCAAAATTCACCGGGATAAAAGTATTTGGAGGTCCTATCCTTAGGTCCGAACTTACCCTCCGGCCACCCAAAGGCCGTGCCCACCTGTTCTATTGTCATTTTCTGGGGTTGGTTCATCAATTGAAAGGTCATGTAACGTGGGGAGAGGTTGGTGTAACGATGCACATATAAAGAGGATAAAAAAATCAAGTGTAAGTCTTCTATATGTGTTGGCATGTAAGTCTAACCAACTCTCTACCCTAGCATAAGAGAAAAGTTTCCTCATATCCCCCTCAATACCTAGAGCTACCCTTACCGAAGGGTCATAGAATCTAGTGGGTCTCATCCCCCTCCTGCTTATCCTCACAAAGTTGGACATATAGCCTTGGTTAAGGAATTCAATCCCTAAGGTCTCTACCGGTGGTGGAGCAAAGGAGGGGGTAGGTTGAGTTCGGGTTCTCTTGCTAGAGTTAGAGGCATTCTTTCTACGAGACATGATGTTTTTGTCAAGAACTAAGGTCAATTGAAGACAAAATCTAACAATAATCACCAAAAACCCTAAACAAACACAAACCCTAGACAATAATCTAACACAACCACTAACCAAATCACAAAAACCCTAAACAATAATCAAGTACTATCACTAACACCAACAATCCACCAAAACAAGGTTAGCACAATAGTGTAAAAGAAATCAACAATCAAATTGAGTACGGAGGTTGAAGTGAGTATACCAATGATCAAAGTGTGTGAAAATCTCACAAAAGGACTCAATCAACACCTCCTTTTGCTTGCTAAACCCTTGTGTTTCTCCAATCTCTCTTAAAAGCCCTAATTTTTGAATTTTCAGAAAGTTAGGGTTTGAAAGAGATGAAAAGGTTGAAGATTGTTGATGAATTTTTATGGGAATGATGAAAGAAGAAGATTAGAAGAATAAAGGTTGAAGATTTTTGGGGTTTTTAGGGAGATTTGAAGGTTGGGGTTTGAGGGAGAGGAAATGAGTGAGGGTAAGTTTTAAAGAGGGAATGAGTGAAATGAAGAAAGAGGCTCGATCGTGCCTCTTTTAAGCCGAAATGGACTGGTTCTGCCTGTGCTGCACGGGCGTGCAGAGTACCGCACGGGCGTGCCAATTTCCCAGATGGCACAGGCGTGCCAAATTATGCACGGTCGTGCATAATTCACAGTAGGCCTTTGGTTCATTTTTCTCTACATTGCACGGGTGTGCAAGGCATTGCACGACCATGCAACCTTCACAGAACACTTTCTTTTCCCTATCTTTTCTCTCTCTCTTTTTTTTATTGTTTTTTTTTCAAAGCTAAATACTTGGGTTGCCTCCCGGAAGCGCTCCTTTAACGTCACTAGCTTGACGTGAATCACACTCAATTGGTGTGACTACAATGCAATACATCAACTAGACCAACATGAGCACCCTCATAGTAAAGCTTGAGGCGATGCCCATTGACCTTGAATGACCTCGTTCCATCTAAATAGTTGAGTTCAACGGTTCCGTGGGGAAAGACTTCTTTTACGATGAAAGGTCCACTCCATCTAGTCATGAGTTTACCGGGAAATAATTTCATCCTTGAATTGTAAAGCAACACCTTATCACCAACATTGAAGGTCTTCTTTTCAATTTGCCGGTCATGCCACTCCTTTGACCGGGTTTTGTACAAGCTTGCACAATCATACGCATCCATCCTTAGCTCCTCTAAATCATGCAAATCTAGCCATCTTTGTTCACTCGCACTTGCCAAATCAAAGTTGATCTTTTTGATAGCCCATTGAGCACGGTGTTCAAGTTCAACCGGAAGGTGACAAGACTTACCATATACAAGCCGGTAGGGGGTAGTGCCGATGGGGGTTTTGAAAGCGGTCCTATAGGCCCAAAGGGCATCATCTAGCTTGTCCGACCAATCTTTTCTATTTCTAGCCACTGTTTAATTTTCTCAAGAATCACCTTGATTTGGCGATTGGAAACCTCCGTTTGCCCACTTGTTTGTGGGTGATAAGTCGTGCCAAAGCGTTGATGGACCCCATTCTTTCTTAGCATCTTTTGAATCACATTATGTACAAAATGAGAACCATTTTCACTTACAACCACTCTTGGAACCCCAAATCTAGGAAATATGACCTTTTTGAAAAATTTCATCACAACTTTGTGGTTATTTGTTGGGGAGGCAATTGCTTCAACCCACTTTGAAACATAATCGACCGCCACAAGTATATATTGATTCCCATTAGATGAGGGAAAAGGTCCCATGAAATCAATGCCCCACACATCAAACACCTCAAGCTCAAGAATCGGTTGTTGAGGCATTTCATTCCTCTTTGAAATATTACCGCTTCTTTGGCAAGAGTCACACGTTTTCACAAAACCCCATGAATCCTTGAAGATATGAGGCCACCAAAACCCGCTTTGTAGCACTTTCAAGGCTGTTTTGTTGGTGAATTTGTCCCTTGGAGTTTCATTCCAAAACAACAAGCCAGCTTTGCAAGGATCTTCATGAATTTCATGTCTGTACAACCTTGAGCGACCGCTTAGGCCAATAAGCGACCTCTTGGAATCCGCTTGACGTCCGCTCGTAGCTCTCTGTTTGTTCACTCCCATTGAACTGAGCGGCCGCTTGTGACAGAGTAAGCGCCTTCTCAGCTCTTTTTCTCTTGAGAGGCCTCTTGATTCAAGTTATGAGCAGCCTCTTGTCTTCTCTTCTCGGCTTTTCTACTATACATCTCCATTATTCAATTCTCGCGCTCGAGCTCATTAGGTACCTACATCAAGCCACGAAAACATGCATAAAAGTAGAAAAGATAACAGAAAATCAAGAAAAATAGGACAAAAATACGAGAAATTCTCCTAAGCCTAGACTATGCACAAAATGATGAAAAATAGGATAAAATAGGACGAACTCATTCCAAAAAGAGTAAGAAACTCTGCTAGAAGATACAAATGAATGACATAAATGTCACTCATCAAATTACCCCAAGCTTGGCTCTTGCTCGTCCTCGAGCAATACTCTAGGACAAAGGATGGAAAGCATTAAATACTAACTACACAAGGAAAACAATAAACCTTACTCACTTTCGTTGGAATTACGATTGATTTTAGCAACAATCAACAAGCCCTTTAAATCCCCTTGTCGCTGAGGAGGACGAGTATGATCTTGTAAGGATTTCTTAGGAGTTAACCCATAACTCTCAAAACAGAAAAAAGAAATAAGGCAAGCATTCTCAATATTATATTAAAAGAGAGAAACTAGAAGAAGTAAAAAAAAAGATGCAACAAGTGGGCATTCATGAAACACTATCGCGATGGATATTTAACTTTCTAAACGGCAAGACAAAACATGTTAAAGAATGCATAAGAATGAATAAAGGATAACCAAGAAAGAGTAAGAAACTATAGCTTTCATGCACCTAAACTAAGACACAACCACACTCTTCCAAAGCTTCATTTCCATCCTTAAGGAATTAGCTTCTCAATAATCCTTGAGGGAGTTGAACAAATAAAAAGTGCGGGTAATGACTTATGACTCGACATCTTAATTTCATGCTCGCTTAATATGCTTGATCTTTACCTCCCTACACCGACAATGACTCAACTTCCTAGAGTCAAAAGGACTTTGGGATAAAACAAGGAAAGGAAAGGACTAGGACAAAATAAGTAAAGAGGGCGTCCCCATTACTCACTGTGAGAAACGTTTTTGTTTCTCACAGTGGCAGTTTCATAAATAAAATGTACCACTTTAGTCACGGTGGTACATTTTATTTACGAAATGGATGATAAAATCGTACCACTTTAGTCACGGTGGTACATTTTATTTACGAAACTGCCACTGTGAAAAACAAAAACATTTCTCACAGTGAGTAACAGAGATTTACTGATAAGTAAAGGCTTGGGTAATGGTGTGAGGATTATCTTCATAAACAATGGAACTCTTATGGTCTTAACCTTCACCTCATTTCAAGGCCTTAACCCTATTATTCAATAGAATATCAACTAGACTCCTCCCCCAAGCTTAGTTAAAAACATATCTGAGATTTTTGGTTCTCAGATTCTGCTGTAAAATCACTAAAATTGATTTTTCACATAGACTTTCTTGGACTTCATTTGTCATAAGTTCTTGAGTTCCATACTTGAAGTATAGTAGTTTTAATTAAAATAGTTAGTTTAATTAGTTAACTTATTTTCAATATAAAAATTAATGAAGTGATGGGCAAATAAGATCATGTAATTAGTGGAGTTGGCTTAAGGTGGCGTGATTTTTACATGGCTTTGCATGGGGATCATCATCATGAAGTTTCTTGGAAATTGCATGGAGTGTATAGGGATGAATTATGGGATTTATTTTCCTTAATCTAAGGGATTGGATTGACTAATTGATTTATGGATCTATGTGGACGTTTTTAAAAGGAATGCTGGTCAGATTCGTCCAACTCACTTAAGGCAACACCAAAAGCAGTCTCTCACGTATTGTACCAGTGGATTTGCCCAGAACCACTGGGCTTAGAAAAACACCCAAGGAAGAAATAGCACTGCTCGTTTTTTTTTGTGAGAAAAGATTTAGAAGAGAGGAATGTGTTTGTTTCTGTATCTTTGAAAAACGCTGAGCAAGGGCTATATATAGCCAAGCCAGCAGCATAAGACTGTTAAGCTTGTAATACAGAATTAAAACTGATGTTACGAAATTGAAATCAGAAAGGCCAGACAATAAAAGCAAACGTTAAGCCTAAAGTCAGCCATTAAAATCGTTTGCACTTAATACGTAACAGCTAATTAAATCTGTAATTAAAACTATGTTTAAAACTGACTTAAAAACGGTCCAAAAATATAGAAGCTCATGATCACTCAGTAAAGACCCAACCCAACCCAGCCCTGCTCGGCGTGCGCGCGCGTGTGTGTGTTGGTTGGATTCCTATAGAAGTTCATGATCACTCAGTAAAGACCCAACCCAACCCGGCTCGGCGTGCGCGTGCGTGTGTGTGTTGGTTGGATTCCTATAGAAGCTCATGATCACTCAGTAAAGACCCAACCCAACCCGGCTCGGCGTGCGCGTGCGTGTGTGTGTTGGTTAGCATAAGACTGTTAAGCTTTTAATATATAATTAAAACTGATGTTACAAAATTGAAATCAGAAAGGCCAGACAATAAAAGCAAACGTTAAGCCTAAAGTCAGCCATTAAAATCGTTTGCACTTAATACGTAACATCTAATTAAATCTGTAATTAAAACTGACTTAAAAATATAGAAACTCGTGATCACTCAGAAAAGACCCAACCCAACCCGGCTCAACGTGCTGGTTGGATTCCTATACAAGCTCATGATCACTCAAGTAAAGACCCAACCCAACCCCACCCAGCCTGGCACGGCGTGCGCGCGTGTGTGTTGTTGGTTGGATTCCTAAGCCCTTCCTCCTTCCACAAAAAACAAAAATGGGTAACCCTTGGGTCACACCCAAGTGAGTGACCACACCTCTTTACAAAGAGGTTCAACTTCTCTTATCCCACCAATGTGAGACTCTTTTGTTTTTATAAACTTCAACACAAGCATAAGTTCCAACAGTTAAATTCGAAAAATATGCAATGCCTTCCCACAATCCAGCAATCAACCATCTATAGATTCCTAGAAATAGCGTAGGAAGCAACTACAAAATTATAAGCTTCAAGCATTAGACTACTGAACATGTGAAATTTAAACTCCACAACAATTATATCCATCCATTTTATACTTATGAATTTTTGAGGAAATATGTTCAAGAACTCATAGTCTTATAGTTCATATGAAAAACATCCTTACAGGTAGAAACACTTATTTCACCAACACGAACAAATCCACTAACTCATTTCAGATGTACAAACACCACAATCATTAGTCTACATCAATCTTTATTTATTGAAGGTTACCACATTTACAAAAGAAGCACTATCAAGCCCTCAAGACTCATGGCTACTAAGAATTTGTTGTCGAACCAAGCTCCTATTCGACTATCGAGCTCAAACCCGATCTCAAAAGCTTGTCGAGTTTCGAACTCGAGCAGAGCATATCCTTATCAAGCCCGAGCCGAGCCCACAACTATTCGGACTCGGCTCGTTAATTAAGTACCCTAGACAGACTATACACTACCTCATTAATTATTTGATCCCTATTAATCATATCAATCCCATTAATGATGGATTAGTTAATTATAATAGGCTTCTTAATCCACACCCCTTATATGATCTTCACTAATTGACTTTAATTGTGTATTTCTCTTAATTATTCAACCATGTTGTACACTTCTTGGTCAATGACGCCAATAGAGCCATTAGCCGACCAGTTGCAGAACTTATGGCGCTAACCATATTCCATATATATTTTGACCATTGTTTAATCAATTAGATCATGCTCATCGTGGATTTTAGAATTTCCTAACCTACCAAAGAAAGTAATCCAAAAAGTAAACGGATTACAGGTCACATACTCACACGCATGATCTTAGGCAACCAAGTCAATGGCGACTTTTGCAAAGGATAACAAATTCTATAGTTAATCGTATACGTTAGTATGTAGATGGACATAACTATAGGCATAGTTATTTAAATTGCAATATGAATTGTGGGATCGTAAGGTCTTACAATTCTATTCTAATCATATGATTTGTGTCATCGGAGTAGCCGTTGGTCATGCAAGATCGTTGTAGGATTGATGCAGGATCGTTGGAAACCAATCAGGATCGTAAATTATTGTTCAAAACCAATCAAGATCGTATGTGATTGTTGTAGGATCGGTTAGGATCGGAATATGACCGAACCTAACCGATCCTATTTTCACTAAATAATGCATTTTTAAAAGCCACTAACCAACTTTCAAAGCTTCCAAGTGATACTAAAACTCAAATAATGCATATCTTTCTTCATATAAGGTCTTTAACTCCTGTGTTACCTTTTTGCTACTTGAGAATCCATAATGAGTTTGTGTTATCAATGTTATATGGGCTAATCTATGTTTTTTTTAGCATTATTGATTTTTGGAAGACCATATAATTAATTATCTTATATCATTTTTCTAGTTTTATAGGATTTTGCGATTCTAAAATATGGTTTCACCTTTTCGATCCTACCCTTCACACCCAAGTTCGTAGTAGGATCTCGATCTAAATAACCATGATTGTAGGTATAGTTAATTACAACATATGGGTAAAAAAAAGAATATGAGAATAGAGAAATTCCTAATTTATATTTGATATAAATATATTAGTGGGTATTTTTGTAATATCATTTCTATATCTGAGGGATTTTTGTATTTTTATATCTTCTGTATTTTCATATCTGATATAACAATATATATATCTGATATAATAAAAGTTATATCTGATACAATATCTATAACTAAAATCTGATATAATTTATATTAGATATGAATTAGAAAAGCCTCATGACTCATGAGAATAATTTATGAATCTAAATTGCATTAGAAGGCCACCAGGGCATAATGTAAGGCATTATCAAGCCATTTGCTACGAATAATTTTTTTGTTATTTCTTTTTTACTTCATAGGTGGCTTTTGATGGTTTTAATTATTCTATGCATATTTTTTGGTGTCATCAATTTCTAATCATTTTGATTATGTTAAGTTGCTAACGAGCAGGTTCCTTGAGGATGTCTTTAAATATCGAAGGAAAAATAGAGATATTTTGTAAAACAAAGCCAAAAATAATTCATTCTACGAATATATCTTCTGAACTGTAGAATTTTCTACCCTCCCCTCTAAAGAAGAAAATGGCCATGTTATCCACTAAGTTTTTCTTTGTCATGATAATAGCACTTATGGCATTCACCGCTGTTGCCGATGTGCCTGCAGGTATATAACAAATTCTACGCATGGTTTTTTTTTTTTGCCTGTTTTATGTACGGAGTTTACTGATTAATATGTTGTCCTGTGCCAAAAAAAGAAGTACAAAATCTCACGAAATTTCCAAAACTATATGGGTTATTCAGTTATTCTAGTCTTCAAAAGTTTCACTAAGTGACAGGTAATTTTTATGTACATACTACCTCTATCTTTTTTTTCCCCAAGTATAAAAACCAAATTTATAAGATACAATGTAAAATCCTTGGAAGACAACTCAAAATGTAAATTTTTTACAGAAATAGGAGAATCTTTGGGCTAAAAAAGAGGACAGATGAAATATATATTTTGAGGAGGGATGTTAATTTATGTGAATGATGTCGATCTCTCTTCGTCAAAAAATAGAAAGAAAAAGAAAAATTGATATCTTGATTCTTGAACCTATATATATGTTTTCTTTCGTTTCTGTTTTGAATTTGTATGACCTTGACTTCTGGAACCAATGATAATTTGAATGAGAATAAAGCTTATTTGACAAGATGAAATATAAAATAGAATTTGGCCTGAATTGTTAGTCTTGTGGCAATATCATCGGTTCTATTAGGGATGACAATTCAATCCGAATCCAAACCGAGTCCGATCCGATCCGAAGGAAAAAGTCCGATCCAAACTCGTTTAAAAAAACTCCGACTCCGAATCCGATAAAAAAATTAAGGTACGCGAACTTGTCGGGTCGGATTAGGATTTTGTTTGATTCGCTCCGACTCCAATCCACTGCCATTCCTTGTTCTAATACCACTCACTCCCTTTCCGTCAAAAAGAAACAAGAAAAAACAACTTTAGTCTTTAGCCATTCTTTTGGTCACTATTTGTGTGTTACTTTTTTTTGTTTTTGGAGTCAAAATTTCAAAATTTTTTGACTATTTATTTTAATTATATTATAACAAATAATATATTCAATTAAGATCTAGTTGGATGTATGTAAATGTAAATTTTTGGAATATACGTTTTCATAATTTTTTTTTTTAGGGATGAGTATAGCCTTTTCATTGGTTATTTAGGGTTTAAATATTAACAATCCTTTTATTTGGTGGAAGAATGCAATGTTTGGATACCGCTAAGTGAAGATGTATCACAATTCGCCTGCAACCCTGAGGTCATTAAAGAGTATTACTATGGCTTCTGTTGGATGGCTTGCCAAAACCAATTCCCAGGCAATTATGTAACGTTCAGTTATTGCATGGATGGTCAATGCCGCTGCGACTTTACTCCTCCTGATTTGGTTAAACCCGAATGCTTTCCGCAACCTTAATTTGTATTTGCTCTTCTATCATATCATATTACTCCGTCCTTCAAAGTTATTACAAAAAATATCAAACGGGACAAATTTTGGGAAACGGATGGAGTAACATCTTTATAGTGGTATGTGTATCGTTGTTTTTCTTTTTTCTTGAATAATGGCCTGGTTGTAATTTTGTTATTGCCATAGAAGTTAGAACTTTGATTAATGGATAAACTGTACATGGCCAGAGCCCTTCACTCATTTTCCTATTGCATATGAGATGTTTTTTTTGTAATTTGATTAATGTTAAGCCTTTGCTTAAATGACTCAAAAAGACAAAAACTCTTTCTTATTTATTTTTGTTGAGTCTTAATATATGTTTATTTTTTTAGACGCTCTTAAACTTAGGATTATTAAATAATGCCCCTAAAATATAATAAGAAAGTTTTAAAAATCGTACATCTTTTCCATTATGACCTCACTCATTGCCCACTAATTTTCTACCTTTCTCTCTTCTCTAACCATCTTTCTCCCACTTCCCCAACATACCGCCAACATGGCAACTACCACCTAGGAGCACCACCACCAATTGCCCGAGCACCGTCCAACAACCGACCAGAGTATCTCCACATTCAACATTTTGTCAGCAATAACATAGACCCCTATAACCATCCTTCTGTCTCATCCCCCACTTAACACCACCTTGCGACTTCCCTCAACCACCATCTAAGTCCACCCATCAAATCTCAATTAAGTTATTTCAATAGAGGGTGCTAAAAAAAAAAAACAATTATAAGTCATTTCAAGTAAGGTTGACTTCGTGAAAGGATTTTTTTTAAACGGGTCGGATCGGAAAAGAGAAAAATTTTCACTAGAATAAAGTCATATTATGAGTGATATGACATAAAAAAAAATTAAAAAAAAGTCTTCTATTGCAGGACCAGATCTAAAATATTCAATCAACTTCCTCTTTCAAAATAATCAATGGTAAATATACTCAAGATTTACTCCAAAATTATGGGATACATATAAACATAAAATGTAGAAATTATAGGCATCAATTTACCTATAGGTGAATACACGTGACATTATGTTTGACGCATAGGTGCTTACGTGGTTGAATCACATGATCAGAACAATCGAAAAGTCAAAGCAGGGGTCGTTAATGAATCTTTAAAGGAAGACTCGTAAACCTTTGAAATGGACTCATGAATAGGGATAAACTAAAGGGACATACGCAAAGCAAATGTTTTTTTTGTTATGAATCTATGAGAAACATAAATCTATTGATAATTTTGAATAAAAGTGGATTTGGAGATGAAATAGGAATTAGGCCACGCAACCATAATTCATCCATAAACAATCCACAAAATTACCTCACCTACTGGTAAGACACTAATTTTAACACTTAAACCCATTTGGGGAAAAATCCCAATATGACCTCTTTAATGGTAAGACCCTAATCTTTCCATCAAAACCTTATTCGGTTAGAAATATGAAATCACCCCTCCTGCTGGTAAGATCTTATTCTTCCCACGAAAATCTCGAAAATACCCCTTCTACAGGCAAGACCTAGATCTTCCCACCGAAACCCAATTGGCCACAAATAAATAAATTACCCCTCCTACCAGTAAAACCCTGACCTACTTGCCGAAACCCTATTGGCGTAGAATCCCGAAATTGCCTCACCTATCTGTAAAGACCCTAATCTTCCTAACGAAACCAAACTGGGGTAAAATCCTTAAATTACCCCTTCTACCGGTAAGACCTAAATTTTCCCACTATAACCCAATTTGGATAAAATCCCGAAATCACCACTCATACCTGTAAGACTTTGATCTTCCCACCGAAACACTATTGGGGTAAAATCCCACAATTATCCCTCCTACTGATAAAACCCTAATCTTCTTACCAAATCCCTATTGAGGTAAAATCAAGAAATTACCCTTATTATCGGTAAGACCCTGAAACCATATTGGGGTAAAATCTCCAAATTACCCCATCTATAGGTATGATCCTAATTTTCCCATTGAAACCCAATTAGGAAAAAATCCCGAAATTACCCCTCCTACAGGTAAGACCCTAATCATCCCACTAAAACCCTACCAGGATAGAAATCTTAAATTATCCCTTCTACTGATAATATCCTATTCTTCACACTAAAACCCTATTGAGGTAAAATCCAGATATAACCCATCCTAGTGGGAAGACCTGACCTTCCCACTAAAACCCTATTAAGGTAAAATATCGAAATTACCCCTACAACTAGTAAGAACCTGATCTTCCTACCGAAACCATATTGGGGTAAAATCCATAAAATTACCCCTCCTACCTAGAAGACCTTGATTTTCACAATGAAACCCAATTAGGGTAAAATTAAGAAACTAACCCTCATACCGATAAAACCCTAATCTTCCCACCAAAACCCTATTGGCGTAAAATCCCAAAATTGCCCCACCTACCGGCAAGACCCTGATTTTCCCAATGAAAACCTATTGGGGTAAAATCTCAAAATCAACCCTAACAAGTAAGACCCCGATCTTCCGAACGAAACCTATTTAGGATAAAATTCCGAAATTACCTCTTCTTTTGATAAGACCTTAATCTTAATATCGAAATAATATTGGAGTAAAATCCTAATATTACCCCTTATTTCCGTAAGACCCTTATTTTCTTACAGAAAACTAATTTGGATAAAGTCACGAAATTACCCACTCGGTAACACCCTATTCTTCCCACTAAAACCATAGTGGGGTAAAATCCTAATGTAACCCATCCATGCGGTAAGACCCGATTTTTCCACTGAAACCCTATTGGGGTAAAATCTCAAAATATCCCCTCCATCTGGTAAAATCTTGATCTTTCGACTACAATCCTATTGGATTGTAATCCCGAAATTACCCCTCTGATTGATAAAACCCAAATTTTCCTACCAAGACCATATTGGGGTAAATCACAAAATTATCCCTCCTACCCATAAGACCCCGATTTTCCCACTGAAAACAAATTTGGGTAAAAGAGCTAAAATACCCACCTACCGGTAAGACCCTAATCTTCCCACCGTAACCCTATTTGGGTAAAATCCGAAAATTGCCCCCATACGGATAAGACCCAGATCTTACCACCAAAACCATATTGAGGTAAAATCCTGAAATTACATGTCCTATCATTAAGACCCTAATCCTCCCACCGAAACCATATTGGAGTAATAACAAAAAATTTCCTCTCGTACCGGTAAGACCCTGATTATAACAGTTAAACCCATTTTGGGTAAAATCCCAAAATATACCCTCCTACCGATAAGACCTTAATCTTCCCACCAAAACCCTATTCCATAAGAAATCAGAAATTACACCTCCTACTAGTAAGATCATATTCTTCCTACCGGAACCTTATTAGCGTAAAACCCTAATCTTCCTATCGAAACCTTTTTGGTGTAAAATCACTAAATAACCCCTCCTTCCATTAAGACCCTAATCTTCCCACTGAAAGGCGATTGGGATAAAATCCAAAAATTACCCCACCTACCGGCAAGACCTTGATCTTCCCACCGAAATCCTATTGGGATAAAATTCCGAAATTATCCCTACAATTAGTAAGACCCCAAATCTTCCGAGTGAAACCCTATTGGATTAGAATTCCAAAATTACCCCTTCTATTGGTAAGACAATAATCTTCTTATTACCGAAACCATATTAGGGTAAAATCCCACTTAAAACAAATTTGGGTAAAATCACGAAACTACCCACCTACCGGTAAGACCTTGATCTTCCCACAAAAACCTCATTGGGGTAAAATCTTAAAATTACCCCTCCTACCGGTAAGACCCAGATATTTCCATCGAAACCTTGTTGAGGTAAAATCCCAAAATTATCCTTATTGGTAAGACTCTAATCTTCTTACAGAAACCATATTGGAATAAAATCCCAAAATTTCCCCACTTAAACCAGTTGGGGTAAACTCCCAAAATAAACCCTCCTAATGGTAAGACCTTAATCATCCTACCAAAACCCTATTTGGGAAGAAATCATATCCACTTATCTCACATCAAATACTTTCAAGCTATGGAAATAATAAACACTGCCTTCATTGATTCTGCTTTCAATTGCTCTCCTAGTATTCATAACTTCACCTTGGATCAGAAAAAGTTCAAGTTTGCTGGCAATCATAGTGAGGCATACTTGTTGCAAGATTGTCATGATGTAGTTAAAAAAACCATAGGACTTTCTAGAGAGACATCATGCGTTTCTGTTAATAGAGCTGTGGATCTTCTTACCATAAATGCAGAAGACATACATTGGAGCAAAGTTGTTGGCAAGTGCCAAAAAGCAGTTTCAGTGCCATATGTTGGGCGAAATGTTACTGATATTGATGGTGCAATTAGAAAGGGGTTTAAGCTGAATTGGGTTGTTGGTAACTGTAATGAGTGTGATGAAAGTGGAGGGAGATGCGGATTTCTTCATGAAACTAGTCCACAAATGCAGTGTTTCTGCCCTCCTGGAGCTTATCCACATATATGTCCGAGTCTATATCTCTATCTCGTTTATATTTCGGTGCTTTCCTTAACAGAATTACACTGCTATGGTCTATGGGTTGCATTTCTTCACAGCCTATAAGCAGAAACCTAAGCTGTGGCAAAGGATGTGGGTTCACTTTGGTGTTCGTAGTCCTTCTTTCATTAATTCATCTACTAAATATTTCTCAGCTCATTCAAGATCTTGATCCCCCATGTCATCTTATGTTCTTCACGTATGGTTCTCTTCTTCCAAATTTCTCGCTACCTATTGGCTATTGCTTCTCATTCTGAGATACATATGTTGAAATTCTAAAAGTCCATAGAACATTAAGTATGAGTATCCCACATTGACAAAACAATAGAGAAATATCCACTATGCAAGGTTGATGAACTACTCCCCTTATTACCATATGGTTTAATAATGAAACTCTCTTAATCATGTAAAGTGGACTATTCCTAAAAACGGGTGTGACCCTAATCTGTATTTAACATAGTATCAGAGTCAAACCTAGTGACATGGGGCATTATTATACTCTTGTGAGGGGAGCAAAATGCTTTGGACCCATAACACATCATATATGATTATCTTGAATTAAAAAAAAAAAAAAAAAAAAGAGGATCTCACATGTAAGGAGGAGTGTCGAAACTTTAAAAACCAATAAAACATTACATGTGAGTATCCGTATTGACAAATTATTAGAGAAATGTCCACTATATAAGATTGAGGGACTATTCCTCTTATTGGCATATGATTTTAGGTGAAACTCTCTTAATCATGTAAAGTGGACTATTTCCTATAGACAAGTG